GAAGCTTGCAGAGTATCAGGAGCCACCAAAGGGAATTACTGAGTTGTGGGAAAGGGTGGAGAAGGAATGGGAGGCTATTGGGAAGGAAGTGTGTCAGAATCTGATTGAAAGTATGCCAAGGAGGGTCCATGCAGTGGTGAAGGCAAAGGGAGGCTATACCAAGTACTGAAAGTACAAGTTTTGTAGAACCTGGATATGTGCCACAAAACTGTTGATAAGAGTGACCCTCAAAGATTAGTAAATATCTTGGGATCAAAATACGGTAAAAATATGATAAAAACTGCATTAAAAAGCCATGATAACACGCTTTTCAATGAGCTCTTATACAATGTAGTTGACTCATTTGTTGAGGAGATATTTACTATACAAGTCAAAGTGAGCAATCTTATCAACAGTTTTGTGGGTCACTGTATATACTAATGTACCGTAGCTCTGTTAGGTACATACTAATAGAGTTGCTCATCTATCAGAGGACTGAAGCCCACTCTGTTAGCATGTCCCCCCGTCCACTCGTTCTCCATCCGTTTACAGGTTATGAGCTCTGCCGGCCACTATGAGATGTCGCTCAGCAATCACGAATCGTCAGTCAGGATCCCCCACCTCACGGAAGATGGATCAAACTGGGTGCTCTATAAGGAGCAACTCAGGTCCACTGTGATGGCAAAGAAGCTGGCACGATATCTCGATGGCTGCGACAAGGAGCCTACTGCACCCACAGCTCCAGGGGTGGATTCTGATGCAGACGAGTCATACGCAGATGCGTACGACACTTGGGCTGCCAGACATGAGGTGATCAAAACAATTTTGTACCAGACACTACCAAAAATGCTGAAACTCTGGATTATCCCCGAGAAGAAGGCATCCAGAGCGTGGAAGATAGTCATCACTGAGTATGACAATCATGGTGACTTCGTTCAGGCAGAACTACTCTGACGGATGCACGCTCTCCGCTGCACCGAGGAAAAGGACCCTCGACTGATCCTAGACAGGCTCCAGAAGCTCAAGACTGAGTTCATGACAGCTGGCAGTGTTCTTAATGACAAGCAATACCATGTGCTCATCATCAGCTGCCTCCCAGAGTCCTATCACCCCATCATATGCACCATCCTCTCTGCTACTCACCTGGCTTCCATCCAGGCTACTGGCACCACCACAACTCCCACTCTCACCATCACATCCGATGAACTCTTATGCCAGATCTACTCAGTCGCACGTGATGAGTTTGCTCTAGATGAGTCGCAGAGCACTGCAGAAGACTCTGCACTCATGACGAGGTCAGGTGGCAAGGACATGAGGAAGACATGCAACAATTGCAGTAAGCCTGCCAGCCTTCCTTTTTCCCATACCACCATGTCCGCTATAAGCGCCCAACAGGCGACTGCCAGCGAATCGACCATGGAGGGCATAGGTGTAGAGCAAACTCCTCCGGGAGGGTCTCCACCGCCAGCGAGCGCGACGACGTCGGCCCCAGCGCCGACACCCCCGCACCCGCCGGTCCACAATAATATGCACGACACCATTAGGTCTCTGCGCAACAATCTGAGCGACCTTGCTGTCAGCGTGCAGCGCATTATCGAAGGCCCCTACGAGGCCGAGGCATACTCCGACGAGTTCGAGAACTGTGCTGTCGCGCTCACTACCTGCCTTCATGATTTCCACAATGCTCTCATGCGTGACTCCCTCATCATCGACACTGAGGCTGGTGCCCAGATCATGCACCTCTACCAGGCTCTCTTCCATCAGCAGCTCACCAGCGCAGCCGTCCTTCTCGACGATGATGCACTCATGGACGAGGTTCTGCGCACCCGTCTGCGCACGGAAGGCACCCTCCCTGTCGGCATCGACGTGCAGGCTGCCCTGACTAAGGCTGTCGAGGACGGTGTTCGAATGGCCACGTCAGCCATCAACACGTGGCTGTCAGCTATCGAGGCCCAGCTAGTACGCGGACGTCCACTGCCACACCCTCCTCAGGCCCCCGAGGGACCACGACCCCAACCGCCGGTCCGTACTGGTCGTCAACGTGCCCCCGCCGCCAACTCCAGTGCTGCTGCCCCTGCAGTGCAGCCTACGACGCAGCCTGAGACACAGGCCCCGAATGCCCCAACCATGGCACAGGTGGCCGCCAAAAACTGCGAGAAATGCTACGTCCTTCTCATTACCCCCGAGCAGCATGCTGCCATCGAGGCAGGGGGTACCATGCCCCAATGGTATGCTAAGGTCCATACACGCCTGCGCGAGACCCCCACGTGGGCCAAGGTACGTTTTCTCGGTCTCCGCTTCGCTGGACCAACCAAGGTCCAGGCAGTTTTCTCGCATGAATCCCCCAACTCGCTCATACGCGAGTATCTCTGGCCCATACGGCACATGTTGGGAGTTGTCCCACGTGCTGCCTCCCCTGCACCAGACTCGCGTGAGCGTGCATCCACACCGCAGGACTTCCGCCCTCTCGTTCCTGTTACGAAACTGTTCATCCCGAGCTGCCCGCTGCGTCATCCCGACACGGGATTGTTACTCACTGAGGAGGAAATCATGGCGGAACTACGCTGTAATACTATGTTTTCATCTGTTCACTTCAACAGTCTACCCGGTTTCGTTGTGCCTAAGGAACATCGCGAGCAGCTCGGGAAGTCCTCTATTATCGTCTCCATTGAGGATGCCCATCGCGACTACTGTGCGCGTAACCTCCTTGGACGTGACAACCGCGGTGATGCTGCCGCTTTTCTTTGGTTCTTTGGCTCCCGCATCACTGTAAAGAAGTCGAAAGATCGTCCCGTCTTCCGTCAGTGCACTCGTTGCTGGCACCTCACGCATCTCGAAAGTCACTGCAAGAAGCGGGTGCCTGTGTGCCGCTTCTGTGGAAAGACTGACCACACGTCCGATGTGCATCGGCAGGCATGCCTTGTCTGCGATCATGAGGCTCGCCCGGCTGACCAGCCTTGCGAGTCTGACCACTATTTCTGTGTGGTCTGTGGCACCAATGGTCACAGTGCCGCCGACATCACCTGCCCTGCACGGAAAGATTACCGCATTCCCATCTCGCGCACCAACCCCTTATCATGAATATCACAACCGCTCATTTGAATGTGGCCCGGTCCAATCCGCACGTCCACGGCTTCGTTTCTTCCACTTCCTACGATATCTATTTTCTTCAAGAACCGTGGTGGGGGCAAATCGGCATCGATACCCCCCATGGCTCTGAGTCAGGCACTACTGTTTTTGGTCACGTCAATGTCCGGCCCTACAGCCTGGACGCCTATCATTTCTCCTCCACCTCTGCGCTGCCGCGACCTCGAGCCAGCATCCTGGTCTGGCACGTGCTCTTAAACACTTATCACATATCCATGCGTACCGACCTGGTGTCGGACCCGGATGTGATCATCCTTCATTTTGTTTCACGCTCTGATCCCACCCATGATTTCTTCATGGTCAACTGCTATAACGAAGGCTCATGAGCCCAACACCGCATTCTGCCCACTCTCTATGATATCCCTTTCACGCCACGAGCGAACCTCCTTGTCACCGGAGATTTTAATCTCCATCACTCCCTATGGTCATGGACCGGGCGGGCCTCCCGCTCTGCTTCCACTGCCTCCACCGCTTTCGCTGGGTGGCTAGAGCGCGAGTCGCTCGAAATTCTTAATGACCTCGATCAACCCACCCACATGGTGAATGGTGACCTGCTCTTGAGCACCATCATCGATCTGGTCTGCGCGACCTCCAGTGCGCACTTTCACATTCACGGAGTCGCTGCTACTCCCACATCCTTTGAATCTGATCACGCTCTACTAACCTCTACTCTCTCTCACGTTGCTCACCCCGTAGACGTTGACCTTGGCTTTCGAGTCGATGTGTTCAAACGGGACGACTGGAACACATGCCTTGCCCGCAAGCTGGCGCTGTCCCCACCACCGGCCACCTATACCACCAATGACGACCTCGAAGCGGGCGCTCAGGCTCTGCTGCGAGCAATGTCCGTGGCCTGCCACGAAGTATTCCCCCGACGCACACATGCTCACCGGGCCTCCCAGCTCTGGTGAAACGATGCATGTGACACTGCCCGCGCAGATGTCCAGGCGGCTCATACTCGTGAGGAGCGGCGAGAAGCCAAAGTCACACTCTCGGCCATCATCCGACAAGCTCGGAAGGACTGGACTCAGGAGGTGGTCGCGCGACTCCAGCACACCAACCCCTGGCGGCTCGCCTCCTGGACCAAAGGAGTGAGGGCACCCCCACTACCTGTCATCTGCATGGACGGGGAGACTGGCTCTCTTCCTGCCAACGCGGGTCGTCTACTCACATGTTTCTATTTTCCGGCGTCTCCGCCCTTGCCAGATCTGCCTCCTCTCTTTACCTCTACACCTATGGCGGCGCGCCCAGACCGCCCCCTCCTTATCACTGAAGTAACTGCCGCCATCGAGGCTGCATCTAACTATTCAGCGCCTGGCATCTCTGGAGTGTCATGGCGGCTCCTAAAATGGGTCTGGCGGTCTGGTGCGCGTCCTGCTCTTTTTCTTTTTCTATCCTCTTCCTTGCACCTGGGTTACCTCCCCGCCCCACTTCAGGCTGCGGCGGTTGTGTACCTGCCTAAACTGGGCAAGGCGGATTACACCGCACCCAAGTCCCACCGACCAATAGCGCTCTTAGAAACCCTGAGCAAGGTCCTAGAAAAAGTGGTTGCTGCCCGTTTCAACTTTCAAATCGGTGCTCACAACCTTGTGCCCGGCTCGCAGTTTGGTGGGCGGGGCCAACACTCCGTCGTGGATGCAGGAGTCACTCTGATGCACCGTGTACGCACTGCATGGGAAAACGGTTTCTCCGCTACCTTACTGTGTATGGACGTCAAAGGCTATTACAATAACATCTGCCACGACGTTCTTCACTCTGCTCTCCTTTCTTTGGGTTTTCCCACAAACGAGGTCCTTTGGACCATGTCATTCCTTTCCTCGTGCACCGTACGGCCCAAGCTCAATTCCGAGCTGGGTCCATCTTACCACGTCGCTGCACTCGGCATCCCACAGGGATCGCCTCTGTTGCCAGTCCTTTCTACTATATACTCTTCCCCGCTGTATGCGAACCTTGATCCGTTCGTGCACCCCCAGCAGTCTACGGCGGGCTACGTAGACGATTTTGCCCTCCTTGTTGTTTCTCCCTCGCTGAACGAGAACACTGCCATCATCCAACACACTCTACCTAGTGTGGGTGCCATGCTTCACCAGCTTGGGCTGACCATTGGCATGGCAAAAACTGAGCTTATACACTTTACCTCCCCGAGACGCTCCCTTGACGTCAACCCCCCCTGCGGGTACAGTGGGATGGGCGGGATATCACCATTCAACCTGCTTCGTATTTGCGCTGGCTCGGCATCTGGTATGACCGACACCTAACCTTCACCCACCACATTCGCGTCATGGCAGCCAGGGCTCCATCCCGCATTGCCGCTTTCCGCATGCTCACCAACACACAGCGAGGCATGACGGTCGCGCAAGCCCGTTTGCTATACCTTACCACCATCCTTCCCATTCTCACATTTGGTAGCCCCGTGTGGTATAACCCGCGGGGCCCACGCTCACTTTTTCAACCTTTGCAACAGGTACAAAATGACGCGCTGCGGTGGTTTACGGGAGCATGGCAGTCTACCCCCACCACGTCCTCAACCTAATATCCAGCGTCCTGCCGATGAAACACCAGCTCGACAAGCTCAACGGCCTTGTCGCAGCTCGCCTTCTCACCCTCTCGGAGTCCCACCCGGTGACCCACTGCCTGGCGGCCAACTGCGCTGCCCACCCGCCCAATTTCTCACTCCTCAACCCCACCATCCCTATCCGCCACGGCACCAGCACGGTGGATGTGCTCGAACAAACCCTGCCCAAGCAGGCAGTGCACCTTCTCCCCTGGTTGCAGCCGCCCTGGGATCCTGCGCATCCGTGAGACGAGAGGGTTCACGTCTGCGTCCCTCCGCCTACCAAAGACGGCTCCAAGGAGTACCTACGTTCATTCTTTTTTCCTCTTTTGCACTCTTCCATTCCTCTTTCCAATGCCCTATGGGTCTTCACCGACGGCTCCCAGCTCACCCAGCCCGACCCCGCCCCATGGAACCGACGAGCAGGTGCAGGTGCATGTATCATTCAGCAGGGTGCGATAAAGTACGAGCGGGCTTGGGGCATGGGTCACCAGGCCGAGGTGTATGAC